AGTGTAACGAGTAAAAAAAAGCGCAAATAAAAGTCAACAAAAGTGATTGATTTCTTTTTGGTTTCGAAAATTCTAACTTCGTTAACTTGAAGCTGTACAGAACTATAATAAACGTCAATACCATTTAAAAAACAGTGGCGTTTATATGATGTCAATTTCGTTCTATATTTCAGTACGCTATGGTACACTTTCGATATCGCAAATTTAGCGTAATTTTCCTCTTTTATCCAGTGCCTTCCCAAAGCAGAAAAGTGGAAACTCGGTAAGACTTCCCAAAGCAACATAAAAAGTGGAATTCGTCCAATCAATTTCAGTAACTTGTTCTATGGTTTGCAGATTTCGTCCGTCACCAGTCATGCCTTTCCACTGCTCCAGAATTTCCACCTCCAGCTTCATTCAAATAAATATTTTGACAGTCGTGTTTTCCGACTCAATGGTGAATTTAAAACGAGATCGATCCAGATTCATTCCTTTCTATCATTAGGGCTAATCAGAAACCATTCCCGCAGAATACATCAGGTTTTTCCAGCCTATTTTTAACAGGATAGTTTTTAACTTAAACAAAAATATTTCTGATAAATCAGTTGTTTAAATCCAACGTTCTGCATGCCGATTAAAAATTATTTCATCATTGCAATCTCCATGACATTTAAATCCAACTCTAGAAAAACGAAACTTCTCCTTCCCTTAAATCTCATTAACCACGTTCCCACTAAATTAGCTCCGACAAGTTCCACCTTTTTGCCTGATTTTTTCACACAATTTTCTATCCAACCTGATAAAGTATTAAAGAGACGTGCCAGCGCTTCAAAACACATACCACAACGTACTGAAATGTGAGATGAGAAAATCTGGCATTAACTCATTATATATTGCTCCTTAGCACGTTATCAGAAAGCACTGATGTAATAATAGCTTACATCTTTAACTTTCGCAAGCGATACTGAGATGATAAGAAACAGAAATAAAACAGATGAACCGTGCATGTCGAGTTTGATTATATGCATTCAATGTAGGAAACATGTGCGATCATACAAAACACTTTGTGAATCTGTAAAATCGTTTTCTACCAGTGTTTATCTGAAAATAACTGAGCTAGTGGAGTTTTTCGATCTACAAAATGATCGAAAACTTTCGAGAAATAGAATTTAAAATTGAAAATTCTTCATGGACATGGACAACATTACAATTACAAGGAATTCCCCATTTAATCAAAACATTTGTTTTGCCAACAAACAATTCCTCCGTCATAAAACAAAAATTGAATTGACAAATCATCAAATAAATAAATACATAACACGATCAACAAAACTGACGAAATGTCGCAGAAACCCACTTCTCCGAATACTCACAGCGTCGGAGACACTTATAGTACCGCGGTCATTGTGCGCAAACGTTATATCTTCCCTTCAACAAATTGGTATCATACAATTCGACGTTAAAATACATCAAATTAATACAGTTGTGATAATCTTCCTCTTTTTGATATGCTTCATATAGTTTGACAAAGTTCAGCAGTACCGACCGACCAATTCTAAACTTTGATACCTCTTGCGAAACTACGTGCTCGATGAAGTCATTTTCAAGAAAATGAGTCGTAAAATAAATTAAAATTAAATTCGAATTCCTTTAAATTTTAAATTCGAATTTAAATTCGAATTAAATTAAATTCGAATTTAAATTCGAATTAATAAATTAAATTCGAATTCCACAAGGCATGTAACATGATGACATGATGCACATGATGCATAAGTAAAGGACATGATGCATAAGTAAAGCTTTTCTGTCAAAGTCTAACAAAATCAGCAGTTATTCTATATCTTGCAGGAGTTTCGTAATATCCTGATAGCGCACGAAGAGACATTCGTATAGGCGCGAGTAGATAGGCCGAAGTTAATATATGCTTCACATTGTAAAATTGAAGGCTAATGTATGCTTCACTACACACTGTAAAATTGAATTAAATATTGAAAGCAAGCATTCGGAGAAGTTCTGTCTCCAGCTAGAATGAATCAAACGAATTTAGAAGATTCATTGCTATCATGCAACATAAAGAATACATTTCGCAAATCCCAGAACTAATCTTTCTTGAGAGTATCTGAAGAAGTAATCATAGAACAACAAAGGACATAATCTGTTGAAGGTCTCTTTGTAAAACCGAACGCTTGATCACTCTTCCTTATCGGTGATATGTTTAAACCAGTATCAACAATAGCATCTTGCTTCATATGTTCCATTTCCAACACCTTCATTCTATGCGACTTCCTTGTAGCCCAGTTTCACGTACACTTTTACTTATTTTCAGCAGAGCCAGATAATAAAGCACCAGAAATACAATTTTCGAGAAAAAAGGATTTTTAAAAATCTTTTTCTACAGCATGAGATTCTTAAAACTACCCGGAATCCTTTAGCCACGTGAAAAAGTCTTATTCTCAATCATTGATACTTCTTGCTGCTTTGCTTTTCACCGCAAATTAGTTCTTCTTATTTAGATGTAGGCATATGTTTTTGAAAAATCTAGATATCTGATGATTCCTAATGTTATTTCAGATAGCGGGATGACAGAATAAAAATTAATTTACTCTAGTTTAAAAAACAAACTTGAACAAATCTATATAAAATACAGAAACATTTGTTTGCATAGCACTACTTCACCGATAAATAATTAACAGTAAAGAAAAGGAAGTATATAATCAAGTAAGCAAATAGGAACTACCGATAATCATACAGAGATCCATCAGAAAATGCATCATAAGTGTATATTTTGGCAGGAATACTTTTGGCAGATAGATCACATCCATTACTTATACATCACATAAAGTAAGTGGGTTTCAGTGAATGCAAAACGATACTGAAAAAAATGATCAGAGATATTTCAATAACAGTACACCTAATTAAGCTTATTGCAAAAGTAAAACAAAAGTTAGCCGCAATATCGTTTTACCACCAATCATCTAGATAGGACAATTGCTGATTCTGTCTTTAGTAGTAAGGCATAAGAATCTGATCGGCATACGACAAACAAAATACTTTCCCTTAAATATTGAAAAAAAAATTTGAAGTCCAATTTCTCACAAAAACGACCAAATTTTAAATTTTAGAATTTCGAATACGAATTTTTTTAAAATGCTTAAAAAATTAAATTGTTATTGAAACAACCCCAAAAATATAAAAATGAAATGGTGTAAAATAACTGTCTAAACTGTATCGGAAACTAAAGTAGGCCATTATTAATTAAAAAAAAGCACAGATGGTTGAACATTTTCCAAACATACTAATGCTTTATATACTGAAAAGTACTCCATGTCATGTTTTTGCAGTACAACTTTCAAATTCAGAACTAATCATTCAAATAAGATATAATGGAATATATAATAAACAGATATTAATAAAAAAGATTTAACGTTATTTTTCTAAGAGATCTTAGAATGAACTCCAGGCAAACACTGTCTCAACATGGTACAGGTGGATGTCGCAGCATACTGCCATCGTCGTGGCTTACAAATCCTAGGATTGCTTTCTATATCAATTAAACTTCCAAAAAAAAAAAAAAAAATTTAAAAAAAATAGTTCAAAATTAAAGCAAAAAACAACGATCCTTGCAATCCCCCATTATAATGGATAGGCCTTTGGAATCATCCGGCATCCTTCGATGAAATGACCATCGCATCTTTCGCCTAACAATAACGCATTGCATGAGAACTCCCAAAAAAGTAGCGAGTCACGTTAACCATTAACTTGTTGATAAGTCGTTAATCATTTCATGGAAATGCAGCAATTTTCATGCGCAAAATATAGACAGATTTCAAGCGATGTATTTGCGCGTAGCTATAACAGAACAGCTGGAAGCAAATGCATTCCAAAGAATCATGAAAATAAATCGAAAAAAAACAGATGAACTAAATCTAAATGAAAGTTATGTAAAGCATTGAGATGAGGAATGTGCAAGTTGACAATGACTAGCTGTACAGAAGGGTCAGGTTACGATCATGACGTATTGAACGCTACTTAACCCACAGGTTTTACCAATATTTTATCAAATTCACTTGACAAATAATAAGAGATTCAGCAGTGAGGCATAAAGACCTGTTTTTACCATCCCATATATATTACTGCACGGATAACATCATATTTCCATAATTCACGATTATTCCTCATCCTTTTAACAGTTCTATCAATAAACGTCTGAACATCGTGCATCAAAGTCCTATTTAAGAGAAAGTGACACACAAAATAACTGATGTTAAATTACCTTAAAAAAGCTAAATCATAGAACAAGCCATTCATATTTCCTACTGGTACAAATAGATTGCAGAGGCACTACAATAAGCAGTTTACCATAACACTGATTTCATTTTTGTTTTAATTCTTTGAATGACTTGTTTCTCTACCGCACAGACGGATTTCACATTCTGATAAAATATTCTAAAAAGAGAATCAATCCGTACAACAGTTACCTTAAGATTCCTGAATCAGTCAAATTAATTCGAAAATCACAATTTTGCTCAATAACTCCGTGACCCCTTAATTACATATAAGAAATACCAATTCATTTAGGCAAAAAAATCAAGTAAAAACGCGAATGGAACCATTAATCCTTGGGTTCTAGTTAAAAAAAAAAAACTGATCTCTGTCTCTGGAAAAATCAAGTCTCTCTGCATGGGGAGACTTGATGTAAGCTTGAAAAGATTAATTGATATCTTAATTAAACATTTCAAGCAAAAAGTTTGCAAATTTCAGCGCGAATCCACAGTAAAATTTTATTATTCATCTCTGAAAAAATCCAAATTATAGATTTATGTAGCATGTATGCATGCATGCATGACAATAAAATAGAGAGCCACAAGCGAACTGTTAGCCTTCAGCGTGTTGCAGAAATTTTGTCAAAGATAAGCAAAAAACGGCGTGCATCTGGTAGTTCTCGAATATTAACGATGTAAGTAAGGAGGAAAAAGTTCTGATAACGATTTTCCTTTAATGATGGTTGCAATTCTTAAGTTTCAACATGTAAAAGCATTATTGCTCAAACTCTGCGCTCGAATTCGTGTTTCAGCAGCTAGCTCGTAATGCTCCTGTGGGAGGTGCTGTGACAACCGGTGCATTGATGAAACAGAATCATCCAAGTCTGACCTCAATTGTCGTTGATCTCGTTGAACGACCACTGTTCGCTCCATGATATCCAGTCGCCTTTTCCGCTCTGCATCCAACTGCTCTTTAAGTGCCACTATTTTTGACTCGAATAGTTTAATCTTTTGTGCACATGCTAATTCTCGTTGCTCGAGCAGCTTTTCAACCTGAAAAAAAAATTGATTGGAATTAAAAATAACATTAAAAATGAAGAACAGTGAAAATGGACTGTTACTTTATCTCGTACTTACTGATTCTGAATATGAATCAGAACTGAATAAATATGAATCAGAACTACTAAGTACCAGATAAAAGCAATTCCTTCAAATTCAAATTTAGTAATTAACTGAATTTTACGTTCAGTTTGCAGTTAATTCAAACATTTGAGGTAACAGTGTACAGCAATAAAAATTTCCCTCACATAGCAGAATGAACCTCGATCACTGATCTTAATTAATCGGTGAGTAAAATAAAGTAAAAAAATTTTGATTGTGGAATCAAACCTTTGTAAGACAAAGTAAATTTGACAAGGAATTATTACAGCAAAGGGATAATAAAAATCAAAAAGTTATTACTTGCTGTCTTTCACGCTGAGCTTGTACCAGCTTATTTTCCAAAGCTCTTAATTGTGGTGCAGATCCTTTGACCAAATGTGAACTACTTTCTTTTTCCAGTTGAACAACCCAAAAGAATAATAGTATTTCAAATTCGGATTTTTGAACAATTTTTCATTTGCTAAATTTTGGAGTTGTGATATAAAATTTTTCAGTGCTTTAAGTACAGATGTGGAATTAAACTAATTCAAATAATTGAAAATAATTATTCATTGAATGTGAATCAAAAAATTAATGGATTTGACACAAACTATGAATATTTTGTAACCGAAGTAACAATAACGAATCAAGTTCACCTGATTTTGCAGCTGTGTGCAATTCCTGTATAATTCCATATTCTCCTTTTCCATCGTTGTCAAGGATTTGTCCAATGCCTGACGTTCGGATGTTATTTGACGCACTGTTGCATCAGTCTGTCGTTTTTCGGCCTCCAACTGGAAAAAACTTCAGTTTGAATTCCGAATAGCTCCTATCCCTTAGATTTGTGCAATAATGCATTGAAATATGCCAAAATTTATCATACTCCAAACTTTTTTAAGCGCATAAAATAAAAACCAACAAAATCAAACTGCGAATAACCTTAAATTCTACTCGAGATTTTCAAAATTACCATTTCTACTTACTAATATCCAGTATTGTTTGACGAGGAATAATAAAGTAACAGTCATAGGTCCGCACTTTGCGTTTTAATATACTGCTGTATAGTACTAAGTTTACGTATCTTTGACAATGGAATCAAGCAGAAACCAGGTATTTGAAAAAACTGGAGCTTCAGTGACTTGATGGGTTGATTTAATCAATTGTATAAGTGGTCTAGTAATTTGCAAAATTACTAATCAACCTAATGGATTGGACAATGGCCTGAAAAATACAGGATGTTTCTTCCTTTTTTCTAATAGTCAAAAATGTAAAATTTACTGTTTCAATGTTTCGTTTTAGGGTCCAAACGTTCTCTTTCTAAGACGTGCACGACAAGCATCAAATTCTCGATGCTCCACCTCAGTTCTACTTAAACGTCGTTTTAATTCTTCATTCTCCGCAAGCAGTATGATTTTCTCGGTCCGCAATTTTTCCAATTCGGTACGCATATCCTTTCCATCTGTTGATTGTCCTTTTCTTGCTTAAAT